CCACCCACAGCAGCCAGGGCCGCCCCCAGGGCCTTGGTCCCCCCCCCCCCCGCTCTAACTCCTCGGGAAGAGGGGCTCGGAGAGCAGCTGGCAGCCCCCCTCCCCTGCAAGACACTCCCTGCCCCTCCCTGCCCGAGTGAGGCCGATTGCTGCGTTCCACACCAGCTCCCCCCCTCATTCATTCTCTCTCTCTCTCTCATTCTCTCTCTCATTCTCTCTCTCTCTCTCTCATTCTCTCCCTCCCTCCAGGCAGCTAAGCTTCCCTCCAAGGTGGCTGGGTCTAGGCCTGGAAGGTCATGACAGGCCAAAGGCAGCACTCCAGGCAGATCTGGGGACTGGCAATGGCTCTAAGTGTGTAAGGGGCGGCCCTGGGGAGGGGGGAGGGGAGGAGGGAGGCGAGGGCATGTCAAAGCAAGGGCGTCCTGGCAGGGCCTCACCTGGAGGTTGGTGAGCTGCTGCTGCTGGTGGGCAATCGTCTGCTTCACCAAGACACTTTTGATGCTCTGCTCCATCGCGTATTTTTTGGCCTGGCAGGAGAGAGAGGAGAGAAACCAAAGTCACAGAGACCACCAGCTGGCAAACCTCCGGCCGGAGCACCCAAGACCGACCCCCCTCTCCCCCCCCCCCCCCCCCCCCCGCCAGCTCCCCTATGAGGCCAGGTGGAACGTTCCCTATTACATCATAAAATGCCTTGCGATAATTTTACATCATAAAATGTTTTCTAAAATTTGCCAGATTTCAGTTCCGTGGGAGTTATGGGTCCCAGATTTTGGACCCATTGTGTAAGTTAGTCATCTGAGGTCCTACGGGGCACCATTTTTCTCAGTTTTATGGGGATGAGAGTTTTAGAACCGTATACTCCTTAGGCGTGTACTATCTTGTTTTCCTCACGGGTGCCATTTTAACTGCTGGTAAGGGAGCCACTCAAAGCTCAATATAAGACAGGCTGCCTTTCTAAGTGTTTCAGAATATAGATAAAGCTAGCTTCCTAACGCTTCCACAGTAGAAGGGGACAAGCCTCACCCAGCTGGTCCTCCTGAAGAACAATCCCTGTGCAGGGACCGCTTTCTCCGGAAGGACCCCTTCGCCCAGCAGGAGCTGAGGGAACCTCTACAACAAACCTGGGAGCAGGACTCTGGGACAGCACTGGCCTTCCCCACAGCACTGGCTGACCGCCCCCCCCCCCCGCAAGCTGAAGCTCTGGTCCAACCTCTACACCACCACCACCCCGCCTGATCGACTCAATGCCCCGAGTAAGCCCAACAGGAGGGCCATCGGCCTCCTCCTCTCGCATCAGTGCCCGCCAGCTGGTAAAGCAGCAGCGCTCTCTTCGCCTGGGGTTACCATGCATTGACCCCAGTCCTGCCATTGGGAGAGGGAGAAGCCCCCCCCCACACATCCCCAATGCCACACGTGCATCTCCTCTGTATTTACGAAGGACCCACCCTCTTACTTTTCCTAGAGGGAATCGCCCCCTGATAAGGTAGGTTATGTTTCATGCCCCTTCCCCAGGTGTGTCGCTGTTTTCTCGAGCAGGAGTGATCACAATCCCGGTCCTCCCTATGGGAGCCGTTTCATTTTCAACACAGTTCCTGCTGATTCCATCAGGGAATTTACAACCGTCGCACACATGGAACACTTTTACTAGTTCTCTGCTGTGAGTCCAGCCCTATTGGACAAGAGGCTAAAGTACTTGGGGCATGTTTTCCTATGGCGGTCCTCATCCAGGACAGCCCTCCGCCAGTTTTCTAAGGACTGCTAAAGCTGTTTTATTCCAGGGAGGGCTTGGCCCCAGCTACTTTGAGGGACTTGGGGGGTCCATCCTGAGTTGTGTTTTGGATTTTAGTCCTATGATGGGATTGGGGTGGGTGGGGAATACATACACACGCAAGCAGAATTTAACTCAACAGCCATTAGCACAAAGCGATGCATGCTTGCCCTAAAAGAGCAACTTCCATGCAGTTACAGATTTGGGCTAAGCCTTGTTAATGCCCATTCCTTCGTTCTGCATCTGTTAGCACCTCACTGAATATAGCTGGATGAAATCCCCAAATCTGGTTACAGCCCACTCCTTCCTGTGGTGCCTCTCTCTCCGGCTATGCCTAGGCTGGATGGTGACCTTGGCCAAGCTGCTCACCTTCTGAAGAGCCTCCTGCTGCTCCGGGGTAAGAGGAGGGAGTCCCAGCTTGGCTGACGTGCTCTGCCCATTTTCCACCTTGACGGTTTCGGTGCCCTGAAATGGGAGAGATGCTCATGAAAGCCCGCTTGAACAAAGGAGACCTAAGCAGAGGGGGCTGGGAGGCTCTGTTTCACCGAGGGGCAGGGAAACAGGACCAATAGCGGTAAGTTCAGAATAATCTGCTTGATATTTCAATTGATAAAGCCATTCCCTGGGTCTCTGCCTCCCCATCTCTTTCGAGACTGATGCCTGTAGAACTTCCTCCAAGCTGAGACCTACGGAAGGCATCAATGGGCATATGGAGCTAACCAGTATCTCCCACAAGATTCCTTCCACTTTCTCCTCCTAGTCTTTAATCAAAACAGCCTTGAAACATCCCAGAGTGGAGACCTCCTCCACTCTGACCAGCAGCTAATAATGAGCTCTTACCACCTATTTAGACCAACTGTATTTAAGTAGCATGCTAATCAGAATTTGGGTGCAGCAGTTCTGAAGACTCTCCTCCTTCAAGTTAGGAGCAACAATCATTCTCTGCTAGTGGTCAGACGCTTTATGCAGCTGTGCAGAATTTCTCAGCAATTATATAAGGGATATCATCCACATGTTCAACTATTTCCTACTGATTTAACCCACTAAAAGGAGGAAAAAAGGCAACCGCCATCCATTCTGCACTTTTACTTTCCTGACCTATCAGGAAATATACACAATCCTGCAAGGTAACCTGGATCTGTGAGTAACAGATAACCTGGAAGGTAACCTGGATCTGTAACCTGGATCTCAAGTGAGTAACCACTCTGACTAGCTTCTGCAGTACCTGACATTTTGTCTTTAACTGTAGCTGGGCATTTTGGGCTCGGAGTTCCTTTTCCCATTAATGGGTGGTGCTGTACTAGAGTGCTGGGCATTTTTAGAATATATCAGATAATAACTCACCCCAAACTAACACATGACCTCTCCTGAGAATTTAAAGTAAGTGTTAAACACGATAGAGTTAAGGATGAAGCTTTGGGACGCTCCATAACAGAGAACCTGGCAAGAATCTGGACTCTCCTCTGCTGCTCCCAACAGAAACCATCAGGTAGGAGTGGGTCTACCAGAGAAACTCTCAGTCCTCCGATGCGGTTCAGGAGGATGCTGTGATTGGCAGCATCACAACCCATTGGGAGGGTCTCCCTTCATCCGAGTCCTTCCACAGGTCAACCATCAGAGGGACCAATGCCGTTTCTATCCCATGGTCAGGTATGAAACCAAATTATCTCTGGAGCCTTTTGCAACGGCAGTCCCACCTCTTTCTTAACCTTCCCCAAGAAGGGGTCCTTTTGGAACTGCTGGATTCAGATTTAGCTCCTTGAGTGAAAGGAACGGCCCCTCTTCCAGGACTTCTGGGGCCTCACCTTCCTTCAAATAGATTGACCACAGCTGGAATACAGCTCCCAGTTCCCTGCCTGGCCATTTCCACCAGCCAGGTTGTACAGAGGCCCAATCCAGAGGTGCTAAAACTGAAAATGCAAGGAACCCATTACAGTTCCTCAAGATTCACTTTTTACGATCCCGACCATCTAGGGAACGATGGCCAGACAATCCATGGAGTACCAGGGTGAGTTCTTAGTAGAGAAGGTTGCGGAGAGAATCATTCGCCTTTGTTGACTTAGCTAGAAAAAGCCTGGAACAGCATCATAACTGTCTTTATCCGGCACGGGTTTCTAAGCAAGCGGGCTCCGGAGCCGTCAACAGGGGTCTTGACCCCTCTCCCACAGGGCTCTGAAGGGGCTGCATCCAAGCACTCGTGACCGCCCCGCGCGGGAACCGGGGGACGTGTGCGTGTGTCGCAATGCCCTTTTGGAAGCCATCCGTGCGAGCCTCCCGCACGGGACCCAGCTGCTCTCGGGCGATCCGTCTAATGCGGGGGGGGAGGGGGGAAGGTTAGGGAGAAGCTGCCGGACCCCCCAACCACAAGGGGCCCCGGAAGGCGAGAGAAACGGGCCACCTGGGGCCTTTAGAGGGCCCAGAGCCTCCCACCGTCCAAGGGCCGCTGCCCCATCCCGGCCAGCTTCCGGCATCCCCTCGGGGGGCCCTGCGAGGGTTCTTCTCCTGGGGGGCGGGGGCTCCTCAACTGGCCGACGACGCCCAGCCATCCGGGGAGGTTCCCGGGGGGGCCGGCTGGCTGGCGGGGGGGAACAACCCGGCCAAGATGGCGCGGCCCGTTCCACAAACTGCCTGGCTGACCCGGGCACCCGGGACGACTACGGGGCGCAGCTCCTGCAACCCCGGGGGTGGGGGGTGAACCGGCGCAGGAGCCCGACCGACCGACCGCGGGCGAGAGGAGCGGGGGAGGGGAGGCGCGCGCGGCAGCTGGGAAGTGTAGCCCCGCCCCCCCTCGCCTCACGCTCCGTCAGCGGCTCAACCGGGGACGCCCCGCATCTCTGTCGCGCGGCTCTCCTCCGCTCCCACCGGTCCGGTGAGGCCGCTTACCAGAGAGAGCGCCGCGGTGGTGGTGGTGGTGGTGGTCGCCGCAGCCGCCGCCATCTTCGCCGCCGCCTCGAGCCCCAAGCTCCGGAGTCTCGCGAGAGCCAGGCGGCGGGAGGCCGGGCGAACGCGAGACCGCTCCGGAGCGGAGGGCGGCTTAAGCGCCTGCGCAAGCCCGCTGATTGGCCCGCGCCTCCCGCCACGCGGTGCTCTGGGGGGGGGCAGCCTCATGAGGGAGGCGCTCCGGCCGAAGCCTTTCCCGCCTCGCCCCTCCCGGGCGCCCCGCCCTCCCCGGTCCGAGGGGCGTGGCGCGGGGGAAGCGGCAAGAGCCGGCGGAGCGTCGGTTACTGGCGCTTTAATGCGGGGCGGGACGTGGGGGAGGCAAGGCGGCTTCCGTCGGAGAAGCCGCCGCCCTGCCTGCCGCTCCCCGGGCAAGCCCCGTTCCCGCCGTGTCCCAGGAAGACGCTGCCTCTCGCCGCTTCTTCCTCCGCGGGCCGCGGGACCGGTCCCAGCAGAGGCAGCCGGCTTCGTCCTGTCCCTCGTCCGGGCGGCGCCGGTTCATGGGCCCTTCTGGCCGCCGGCCTGGAAAGGCGCCTCGGGCGGGAGGAGTCCGGGGCTTTGGCAGGGCGCCTTCCAGGAACGCCGCCAGCATCTCCCGGTCGTCCTAGAAGAGAGCAGCGGGCGAGCGGAGGGAAGGGTGGGGCCCACGGAGCGGCCCCTTGCCGAGGGGGGCTGGCCGGCAGGCTCCCCTCCAGGGAGGGAGGCGGCGGAGAACCACTGCAGGGACCCCCTTGGATGGGGAGAAGGGGTGGTTCGCTCATGGATCCCCGAGCCCGGGTTCGTGCAGCTGCCCAAGCAGGGGTGGGTGCAAGGTGGTCTTCCCAAGACTGCTTGTGAGGGCGATCCAAGGTGCGGGTTGTCCCTTGTGAAGCCCCCCGAGGCTTGGGCAGCTCTCGGGCTGCGTCTCCCTGTGCTCCTGCCAGAGAAGCTCCCCACAGGGCCCTCCTCCTAGGGAGTGTGGCCCCAGGGCCAGCTTCCCCGGGAGAGACTGGCTTTTGCAAAGCAGTGCCCGTGGCTGCTTCAGTGGACCTTCGGGATCTCCTGTAGGGTGACTGGGTCAGGTGTGGTACAATTCTTCCTCGGCACCAGAAGATTTCATGGCCGTGGAGTCAACAGATCCGAGTGAGTGAGTGAGTGAGATCAGCTGGCCTCATGGCCCATCCCACTCCCTCTCTGCCCCTCGCCCCCAGGGAACAGGTCAGAGCTCAGCTGGCGGTGGAGCTTGTCTCCCAGGGTGAGAAGGAGGGTCAGCTGTTAGGGAGGCACAGGCTTGCATGAAAGGATTCTTGGGAAAGCGAACATATAGCGGAGAAGGCTGGTTCTGGTGGTTTGGAGCACAGTTTCAAAAAGAAGCTTCATAAAACAAGTTTTCTCCTGCCTGGGAGCCTCTTAGGACTGGGCTGCCTCAGCCCCAGAGGCTCTTTGGCCCCACAGACAGGCCCCCAAGCATGGCCTGATCTCCACTAGGCGCTTGCCTGTGCCCACCTGGTCTGACCCAGAGGGGAACCGCCTCCCTGTCCTTAAATCTTCATAGCCCCCAAATGCAGGGCAAGGCGAGGGTGTTGGAAAGTCCTGCCTTCTGTTCCTCTGGCTTCCCCGAGCTGCCTTACGTACGTGCCATTGCCGCCTCTCCTCCTGCCACTCCACGTTGCACTGCATTTGCACCACCTGATGGGGGCAGAGGCAGCCCCCAGCAGAAGCCCCCTGCCCCCCCCCCGCCACAGCCAAGGCCCTGCTGGTAGCGGGTGCCGGAAGCTGCCGCTCCTGCAGCTCTCCTGGAGCTCCTCCGCTCCCTGGCCTGCATGGAAGCATCTCCCATGGCTGAGACCCCTCTCCCAATAAACCCGCCACATGAGGCAGATTTCTCCTCTGCTCCTGTGAAGGGTTTAGCATCGCCATGACACGTCCTGAGGCCCCTGGCCTGACCCCTGGCTGCCTACCCTGGGAAGGATCTGCCTCCCCCCGCCCCCGGGGAAAACAGGCTGAAGTGGTGCAAAGGGTACAGGAGAGGAGAGTCCCGTGGGCAGCCTCCCTCTTGCCTGCCTGGGCTCCAAACGAGGCAGGGGGGCTGCTGACCCGCCAAAGCCACCCCCCCTTCCGCATCTCCACTTCCAAAGGCTCTGGAGTGGGGCTTTGGGCTTTCCGGGGGTCTTCCAGGGCCTGGGAACTGGCCGGGGGTGGGGGGGTGGGGGGCCAGACGGTGGCAAAGTTCATCAGGGGGTAAATGCCATTCCTGGCAGAAAGAGCAGAGAGGTCAGGGAAGGGTCCCAGCAAGGAAAGTGGGGGAGTTCTCCATCCCACGCCCAGCCCCTCCCCAGTGCTCCCCCAACCAAGAGTCGGGTGGCTGCAGAGGGAGAAGCGGAAGACGGAGAAACTCACCTTTGTCCAATTCCAGGAAAGAGAGCTCTGAATATCGGGGGGGGGGGGGGCAAATTTAGGCCAGTTGTCTGTGGCAGCTGCAGCCGCCCAACAGGACCAGAAGGGATCAAGGCGCCATGGCTGCCAGCAACCCCCCCCCAACCCCCAGGCCAAGGCCAGAGACAGATGCAGCCAGCACGCTGCTTCTGTTTTGCCTGCCCTCTCTGGGCCACCCCCTGGGGGAGGGCGATGGGGACAGCCTTGGGCTGGGCTGGGCGGGGGGCAGGGAGGATCTCTGCCTGCAACCACCCAGGTATCCCAGGGGACAGGCAGGCACCCTCCATGTTGCAGGGGAGCCTTCCTGGGGAGTCGCTGGCGTACCAGACCCACCTGCACTGCACTGGCAGCCGCCCTGCCCGCCGAATCTCTGCCATCACCTTGCTGAGATCCAGCTCCTTGGTTTTCTCCATCACCACGTTTTCAGGCCACAGGTCTGCAAGACACAGGATTGGTACTCCAGGGCCAGGAGCCGCCAGCCTTCTCTGCCCAAGGCTGCCCTTTCCCCAGCCTCCCCCCTGAACTCACATGGTGGGCAATGAAGCAATGGGCAGCCAGGAGCTTCAGGGAGTGGACCTCAAAAAGCACCTGGTGGAAGAGCAGGTCTTGGGCCGCGGGCCCCTGGCTGGGAATCAGGAGGAGGCAGCCCAGGATGAATGCCTGCGGCGGTGGTGGGGGGAGGAGGAGAGATGGTTACAGACAGCAAGGCCTTCCCTTCCCACTAGGGCAGGCAGCTCAGCCCTGCACAGGGACAGGTGAGAGTTGACCAGGAAACCGGCTGTGGCATGTTGATTAGGTTTACGTAGCCCGTCCTGGCAAAGACCAGCCTTGCCAGTGCAACACCCTTCTTCCGGTTGGTGGCGGATGAGAGTCCTCTGGCCCACTAACTCTGAAAGGATGGCGGGGGCAGCTGGCTAAGCAGGATCTTCCCAAGTATGCAGAATGATATTTCCCATGTCTGATGAAAGCTAATTTATTCTTGCAAACTTTTGGCAGATGCTGAATGTTGAGCTGATTGGTTCAGTGAATGGAAAGTTCTGCAAGCAAAAGCTTTCTGGCGCTCAGTGGCAGCCAGAAAGGTTCCCTTGAGCCGAGAGGGGCCCTGCTGGCATTCCCAGAGCAAGTGGACGGGCCCTCCAGGCTGAAGACAAAGACGGCAGACCCAGCCTGGTTGTGGCCCATTTTAGGGTCATCGGAATGGGGCCTCATCAGGCAGGGGGAGGGGGAGTCTCCAGTGATGAAGCACCCACAACTTCCAGAGGCAAGGGGTTCCATTGGCGGATGGTTTTCACTGTCAGGAAATTCCTCCTCCTTCCCAGGTTGAATCTCTCCTGGTTCAGTTTCCATCCATTGTTCCTTGTCTGGCCTTCAGTGCCTTGGAGAGTAGCTTGAGACCCCTTCCTCCTCCTCTCTGGGGCAGCCCCTCAAATATTGGAAGATGCTCTCCTGTCTCCCCGGTCCTTCTCTTCCCTAGACTAGCCAGGCCCAGTTCCTGCATCTGTTCTTCATATGTTTGCGCCTCCAGTCCCCTCATCATCCAGGTTGCTCTTCTTTGCCCTCTTTCTAGAGTCTCAACCTCTTTTTTTATAGTGTGGTGACCAAAACAGGATGCCTTACTCTAGGTGTGGCCTTACTAAGGCTTTATAGAGTCTTTCTTCAATCACTTGATCTTGATTGTATCCCTCTGTTAATGCAACTTAGGACTGCATTGGCTTTTTTGGCTGCTGCTGAACACTGCTGGCTCATATTTAACTGGTTGTCCACTAAGATTCCAAGATCCCTCTCACAGTTACTGCTATTGAGCCTGGTTTCACCCATTCTGTATGTGTACTTCTGGTTTTTCTTGCCTAAGTGTAAGATTTTACTTTTTTCTACATTAAATTTTATTTTGTTAGATAGGGTCCAGTGTTCTAGTCTGTCAAGGCCCATCTGGATCTTGAGCCTATCTTCTTAGGTGTTAGCTATTCCTGCCAGCTTAGTATCACCTGCAAATTTGGTAAGTTCCCCTTCTATTCCCTCATCTAAGTCGTTAATGAAGATATTGAAGAGTCCTGGGCCTAAGATGGAACCTTGTGGCACCCCACTGCTTACTTCCCTCCATGTAGATATAGTACCCTTAAGGACTACTCATTGACTATGGTTTGTCAGCCAGCCAGTTACAAATCCATCTGATAGTGATGCTATCGTACTTTTTTCTAGCTTACCAAGATGTAAGTTGTGGTCTACTTTGTCGAATGCCTTGCTGAAGTCTATTGTGTCCAAAGTATTTGGCTGGTCTACTAATTTAGTCACTTTTTTGAAATAAGATTGGTTTGGCATGATCTGTTTTTAACAAACCCATGCTGACTTCTAGTTATTATTTTACTCATTTCTAGATGTTGGCATATCTGGTTTTTTTTTTTTATTATCTTTTCCAGTATCTTCCCAGCAGAAGTGGTATTCAGCGGGTTCTGACTAGTTGTGGAGAACCAGTAGCGGAAATTTTGAGTAGTTCAGAGAACCGAAAATCCCACCTCTGACTGGAGATTTTACAGTACCCTTCCCCTGCCATGCCCAGTGGGTCACACCCACAGAACCGGTAGTAAAAAAAATGGAATCCCACCACTGCACCCAGGTATTAATGTTAGGCTAATTGGTCTGTGGTTTCCTGGGTCTGGTTTTTTTTCTCCCTTTTTTTCTTTTGAAGATGGGAACCACATCAGCTCTGTTCCAGTCCTCTGGTAGTTCCCTGGACCCCAGGATTTTTGAAAGATGTGGCACAGTGGTTCTGAGATGACATCTGCCAGCTCCTTTAAAACTCTGGGATGTAATCCATCAGGTCCCGGTGATTCGTCAAGATCAGACAGGTGTTCTCTTACCAATTGTTTTGCTTATTTTAACTTATTTTTAGTCTGTCTTTTACAGTTACGTTTTTGATAAGTTGGATTATTGTTTCTTTTTGCGTGAAGACTGATGCAAAGAATGAGTTAAGCAGCTCTGCTTTCTCTCTGCTGCCTGTTACGTCTTTGCTGTCTTCTCTCTTTAGTGGACTGACTGTTTCCTTGATTTTTTTCTTGTTATTTATATGTTGGAAGATTATTTTTTTAGTATCTTTGACTTTTATTGCAAGTTTTTATTCACTCTGAGCCTTTGCTTTCCTGACTTCATCTTTGCAGTTTCTGGCTATCTGCTGTCCAGACAGTTTAGAGTTAATGGGATTTGGGATAGTTAGGATTTGAGAGCTGTCCCCTTAAGGAAATGCATCATGGTAAATGTAGTTAAGGCATCCTGGGAAATGTAGTCCATGTCATGTGGTCACATGCATAATCCGGATTGGTCACTAAATTGACCCTTGTTGGGTTGGGGGAAGCTCCCTCACTCTTGCCTGAATCCACCATACCATGCAGTCGCTTCAATCATCATGGGATTGAGACTTTATTATCTTTCTACACCACAATTCAGATATGCAAAAGATTGGACATTAAGAAGAACCATGTCATAAATGTAAGTTGACAGGATGCCTAATGAACCAATAAAAAAGACTTTGTATGGATGCTTTGTGCAGTTACTCTGTCTGCTTTATGCCATCCAGACGTTAATAAGCAGAACAGTAGAAATATAGTTAATCTTGATTCCTGGAAAAAGTTAAAAAGATGAATGAAAGAATCTGGAATCCGGAAGCCCTGAGATCTGCAATACTGAAGCCAGGAGTAAATGTGCATGCTGTTCCTTTGTACTTTGGTTCTCTCTCCCTCAAACCTCTCATCGTAGCCAGGAAGGGGCAAATCCCCTCCCCCTGCTTTTCTCTTCAGCGGGAGAAGTGCTGTTGAAAGGTGTCAAAATGCCTTTCTTTCGAGGATTCGATTTTCCCGCTGGGAGAGCTCTGGCGCAAGGATACGGACAACTGCTTGAAAGCTGGATCCCTGGAAATGTTATGTGCTGTTGCAGAACACTGGGTTATGGCAACCACCAGGCTGCCAGAGACCAAGGGGATCGCAGTCATCCGGTAACTCCCTGCCCCACCCCAGGGGGCCATGCTGCCTCTCACCCGCACGTTGGGGTCATCCAAAGAGTGCCTGGCTCGCTCAATGGCCTCCTTGGTCACGGAAGAGTCCCCATTCGAGTGGATCTCCAGCACGGCCATCTGTGGGAGAGGCCAAGATGGAGCCGGGCTGGCCACGCAGGCAGCAGCTGCATTCCAGACCCCCCAGCAGCAGAAGTTGGGCAGGGGAAACTTTTCCCATTCAGCCCCTGCAGGCCCTTCTTACCTCCAGCGCACACATCCCAAAGGAGAAGATGTCCACCGCTGTGCCGTCGGCCATCTCTGAAAAGCCAACAGCATCCCATGGAGCTGGCATGCCTGCCCCCAAACAACCATGGCCCTCCCCCCGCCCCCCAACGGGAGGAGCTTGCTCTCACCTCCGTACTCTGGTGGGAAGAAGTGAGGTTCCACGGGTCTTCCCGCTCTGTATGGACCAGGCTGTGGAGCTCGGGCAGAAGGGCTGCAGGAGGAGCAGGAGGTCCTTGCTCAGAGGGAGGCCGGGGCAGATGCCGCCCGGCACAGACTGAGGCCAAGGGCTGGCCTTCTGCATCAGAGTGTGGCAGCCCAGAGGAGGTGGCCCCGGACCCAGTCCTGAGGCAGGGGGAGGGCTGTAGGGCTTGACTCAAATGGGAGCAAGCAGGGGCCCTTTGGAGGGCAGAGAGGCGGGAAGAGCCAACCCCAGGCAGCAGTTTCACTTACCCTTTGCAAAAACACGATGCCAGACTGTCGAGGGGGAGAGAAGAGAAGACGGCCGTTACAGAGACGTGGGGGCTCCTACCCGGAAGCTGCAGAAGAGTGCCAGCCGTGTCATCCCAGCAAAAGCCTCGTGCGTTTAGGCCTCTCGTGCTAAGCAAACAAGTCCTGGACAACGTGTCAGGCTAAGGCCAAGAACGATGACCAGCCATTCAGCCAGAGGTCAGCTCTTGGCTTGCTTAGGCGCCGCAGGCAGAACCTTGCCAGGCTGGACCCTCACTACCCTTGGCCTAAGGAATCTGCCCCTGTGGGAGGTTCTGGGCCTCCCTCTCTCTCTCTCTCTCTCCTACTTGGCTTCAGGCTGTGCTGCCTCCTGCCCCCACCCCCACCCCCCCTTTCTGGAGGAAGCTCCCTCCCACCTGGGAAATGGACGTTTCAGCCTAGGCCATCGCCTCCGTGGGCCTCATCTCACGCCCAGGGAAAGATGCTTCCCACCACACCAGGCTGCCCATGGTAGGTCCACGCACAAGAGTTCTTCTTTTCCATGGGTACGGTGGGATATTAGCAGGTCATAGGAAGCATGGGAGAACTTGGATGGAGCCAACACACGCGTGTGCATGAAAGCAATGGAAAGAGGGCCCCGTTCCTATTTATTTTATTTATTAAATTTATATGCCACTCATTTCAGTGTCACAGCAACTCTGGGTGGCTTAGAGAATAAGAAAAAGTAAAAATAGGAAACATTTTAAATTAGGAAAAATTAAATAAGCTAAAAATGAAGAGGACAGGTGAGGCGGGTGTGGGGATCTCCTCTCTACCCCATCAGCCACCCTGAGCTCAGAATGCCCCATCAGGGCCCTGGGCCAACCGCCAGAGCCAAGGCTGCCCTAGAAGGCCATGAGGGTGGGGGCCGACCACACCTCCAGAGGGAGAATATTCTAGAAGGCGTTGGCCACAGCAGAAAAGTCGTCTTGTCCTGGACCCACCAGCCCAAACAGTTTGGACTACGGGATCCAAAGCAAGTGGGGAGGGCCAACCCTATTGGGGGAGACAGTTCCTCGGCTACCCTGGAGCTGTGCCACAGGAGGCTTACAGGGAAGGACCAACACCCTGAGTTGGATCCGGAAGCAAATGAGCAACAGCGATGCTACAGGCTCCCATAGAGTCTGCACTGCTGCATTCTAGATCCCCTGCAGCTTCTGAATAGCCTTCTAGGATAGCCCCACGTAGAACGTGTTGCAGTGGTCCAACCAAGAGACGACGACCAGGGCTTCAGGTCCCAGGAGGGAGGGGACAGGCACAGGTCTTTCTCGGGGACCCATGCGGGCAGATTTCCTTTTAGGGGCTCCAGAGACTGACCCGGCCCACCTTCTTCATACCTGATCCTATTTTGATGAGCCGGTTGTGCTGAATGAAGATGGTGTCACTGGTGAGGTAGCCGCGGGTGATGGGGGGATTGCAGGAGTGCAGGTAACTGCAGGGAAAGAGTGCTGGGGGAGTCCGGTGCCCAACAGGGGCTGCCGGGCACCAGCAGGGCTGAGGAGAGGCTGAGGTGAACCCAGGACTTATTTGAGAGCTAAGGGGATCTGGGTGCACCAGCGCTTCCAGGCCTGTCGGGGGGAGAGCAGAGGAAGAAAGGCCGCCTGAGACATGGGTAACCCCTCCATCCAGCCCCCCCCACTCTATTCCCAGGCTGTTGGCAGCCTGAGGGCCCAATGTGGCAACCGTGGGGGTCCATCTGCGGCACCAGGGGCCCTGCGCCCAACTTTCTGGAGGGCCCCCTGGAGCAGTCGATGCAAGCGGCGGGGGGGGGGGGCTCACCCACCCTGGCACTCATCGCTTTGTGGTTCTTCTTGGTCTTCTTCAGGAACTGCTTCAGGCTCCCTGAGGAGACGTAGTCGGTGATGGAGATCACCTGCCCGGGAGAGGTCAGAGTGGGTGCCCCTATTCCCAGCCACCCTTCCCAGCCCCACTCCCTGGTCCCCGGGCCTGCCAGATGCTGCTGACCCTCCTATTGCCCACCGGTGTCCTTCCCCCGGTGACCTCTTGGCTTCTGAGGGACTTTCCTGGAGCCCCTTATCCTGAGCCCAGCCCTCCAGCCCCAGAGGTTCGGCAGCCAGCCCTACGGCAGCTCACTTGGGCTTTGCTTCCCTTCATGTCCAGCCAGTATTTGTGCACCTTCACGATGTTGGGATGGTCAACACCCACCAGCTGCTCAAAGGGGGCCTTGATCTTCTCCTGTTGGGCAAGCAGCAGCACTTCAGGGGAGGGGAGCCTGTGCCAGGGCCAGCCAGAGACGGGTGCTCTGGGCACAGGCCCCGCTCCTCCTGCGGACCCCACTCACCTTGTGCCCCGTGAAAGCCGCCTTGTCCATGAACTGCAGTGTCATGCTGAGCTCCATTCAAAATCCAAGAAAGAAATACTTAGACTCTTTTTGTTAGAGAAAAGATATATTTTACTGGAAATGAAGTGGTAGCTACAATAGAATTCTGAATCTGAGGAATTAGGCGCGTAAATCACATATACAAAGTGATGGAAATGTTCCCACCCCCAATAGTTCAGATGAGTCTTCCAGTTACAAGTTGTGAATATGATCATGTGGACATCTTCAGGCAGTGATGAGGCCTCTGTCCGTTGACCTTGGCATACTTTGATAAAAGTTTGCAGCTGCGCAGAGAGAAGAAAGCTAAGCAAGAAGTAGAAACCTAAGCAAGAATGTGCTCCCCCCCCCCCCCCCCTTTATCCCATGTTTCTTTGTGCCCCCCCCCCCTCCCCTCCCCTACTTATCCCCCCCCCCCCCCCCCCCCCCCGTTACTTATGGCAGCCGAAAGATGCGAAGCAAAGGTAGAAGATCTTGAAGGCTGGCATGCAGCTCATTCCCCACCACCTCCACGCCTTCCTCCGTGTCCATGGCCAGGAACGTGCTCTGGAGCCCTGGCATGTTGCCTCGGTTCACCTATGGGCATCGTCCAGCTTTAGCAGCCTGGCTGGCCAGAGAACCAACGGGCACCCACACGACACCTGCCACACCCTGGGTTGAGAGGCAGCATCTCTCTTCTCCCCACTGCCAGGACACGGAGAAGGGGAAGCCGAGCGGCTGGGGCGCCCATGGCTCTGCCCTCTGGCTCCGTGTCCTTCCCCACAGCAGGATTAGGCCACCCAGAGGCCTGTGAGAGGAAGGGGTGAGGCCTCTTCCTGCCCTCCAGCTGTGCCACCACTGGATGGCCCCCCTTCGAGGGGAAAGGGGGTCTCCCCCCACACCCTTTGGGATGGACACATTTCCTGGGCCCACATGTGACCCATGTGACCTCTAGACTTACCCCATAGGATGAGCCCTGAACGGGAAGCTCAGCATGCTACAGATTGTTACCGCAATCGCCACAGCACTGGCAACAGCCCCCTGAGTGAGTGCAGCCCCCTCCCCAAAGAAACAGGGCAGAGGGCCGTTCTCCTGGGCCCCCCAAGGACAGGACCATTTGGCTGGGCATCCAAGGAGGGGACTGCACACACACACACACACACCACACCACACCACACCACACCACACCACACCAAGCTTTACAGGAGCTGCTTTAGGAGAGTAGTCCCAGGTCCAAATAAGGGCCCCTCAGGAGGGAGGTGGCTGCCTGAGGTTGCTGCCAGAATCCTCTCCTCTGCCATTTGCCAGCAGGGCTACCAGCATCTGTCTTCCCGGGGGGGGGGGGGGATCGCTTCTCTCCTGCAGAAGCCAAGGCTGGTTTGCCGATTCTCTGCTCCTTGATGGGCTCCCCTGGGCTAAGGTGGGCAGCAGGCATCCCAGGAGCCCCGACTCAGGGGAACCCAGAAGAAAGGCGGCCCTTCCCCTCACCCCCTCCAGGGCCCATGAGGAACCGGGGTTCAGTAGTGGGACCCCCAGCAAAGGGAGGAAGCAACCGGCACTGCCAACTTGTTTTCCTGAGACTGGAGGCTTTGGATGGGGAGGCACAGCCAAGCGCCTGAGCGGCTTTCTGGCAGCAGCAGCAGGAGGAGGAAGAGGAGGAGGAGGAGGAGGAAGAGCACCTCCTCGGCCCAGACCCCACTTGCACCCCCTTCCCCACTCACTTCTGATGGCTGCCAAGGCCTGGCCTGCGTCTGGGTAGATCACTCAGTGGATTCGCCCACCATGTCTTTACAGCTTGCAGGCAGGGGTGGGATTCTATTGGTTTGGCCCAGTTCTATAAAACCGGTTGTTAAGGTTCCCGGTAGTTTGGAGAACCGTTAAACAGCCCCCTGGCTGCCCCCCACTCTCTGCCCGCTTCTCCGCTCCCTGCCCAGTCAGTCCCTATCGCACATGCGCAACATCATGCGCGACATGCCTGAGCCTGCTTTTGCCCGCCAGGCCAGCCGTTGCTGCCGGCCTTTCGCTGCGGGAAAGCAGAAAGCTTACAAGTCCCCCTCCCTTCGGGAAATGGCTGCTGGGCAACAGAGAAGCAGCCTGGTTGAATCCTGTTTCTCTCCGCTGCCCAGGAGCCGGTTCCCGAAGGGAGGGGGACTTGCAAGTTTTTCGCTCTGCCGGGAGAGGCTCTCCCAGCAAGAGCAGGTGAGAGAAGCAGCCTGATGCTGACACGAGCCTCTCCACTGATCTGCCTGCTCACAGGTAAGCCTGCAAGTCACACCCTCCCCCAATGTCCCTGGGGCTCCCTGGGCCTCACCCGGTCTACCTAGCTGCCCCCCCCCCAACATCCCCGGGCTCAGCTGGCTGGCTCTCTCAGCTCTCCCTACCATGTGGCAGTGCTCCAACCGGTTAGCGGCAGACCCAGCTGCTGCCTGTAAGCAGCACCATCACCACAGTGTCTCCATCGCTTCTGCCCGCTTCTGCTGGGGGCAAACAGGAGGCAGCCAGGGCAGAGGTGTTTTGGGAGGCCTTGGGTGAGGGGTGCTCAAGGCTCTGCTGCAGTTGCACACCACCACCTCCCTCCCTCCCTCCCCCCTTTCTTCCTTTTCCTGCCTCCCGCTGCTGACCTGACTGAAGCTCACCGTATCACAGTTTGTCCCAGACCAGGTGAGTGTGTGAGTGAGTGAGAAAGACAGGGTGGGGGGAAGAGAGATGGAAAAAGAGAGAGGGAGAGGGAGAGACAGGGAAAGAGAGAAAGAGGAAAAGGGAGAGAGAGAAGGAGAAAGGGGGGCAAGAGAGGGAAAGAGAAAGAGGGAAAGTGGGAGAGAGAGAGAGAAGGAAGACACAAGAAAGAAAAGGGAAAGAGAAAAAGGGAGAGAAAGGAAGAAAGGGAGGATGGAAGGGACAGAAAGAAGGAAAGAAAGAAGGAAAGAAAAAGAAAGAAAGAAAGAAAGAAAGAAAGAAAGAAAGAGGAAGAGGGAGAGAGGAGAAAGTGAATGAGATATATGAATGAATAGATAAATACATGGAAAGAGGGAGGGACAGAAAAAAAGGAGCGGAAGGAAGGACACAAATCCTGGCTTCAGAAGGCTCTTTGAAGCAGCACAGCAATCTAGGGCTGGCCTGCAAGGGATCTTGGAGGTCATCTAGTCCAACCCCCTTCTCCAGCAGGAGATCCTTACAGAATCAAAGCAATAGCAGGGTTAGAAGTGTGTGTGTGTGTGTGTGTGTGTGTGCGCGCATGACTGTCAAAACTCCAAAAACAGGTCAAGTAGCTCTGGGGAGATCAGTCATAAATTCGAACACATGTTAAACAACTGGCCATTAAGCGAGGACCACTTGTATTTGCCAGTCACATGGCCACCTGGCCATGCCCACCCAGCCACGTGACCAATAAGCTATGCCCACCCGGTCATGTGACCAACAAGACACACCCACAAATTAAGCCACGCCCACAGAACCAGTTGTTACAAAATTTGAACCCCACCCCTGCTTGCAGGTAAAATTAGATCCTGGGTTTTAGTATTGTTTATTTCTCAGGGATAATTTATAGCAGTGGGAGTCAAACTGGTCCCTACCGCCCACTAGTGGGTGTTCCAGCTTTCATGGTGGGCGGTAGGGGTTTGTCCCCTACTTTATAAATCACCATTATTGTGGAACCGGTGGACAGTTAGAGAAAATTTCACTACTAACAGAGGTACAAAAGTGGGCGGTAGGTATAAAAAGGTTGACTGCCCCTGATTTATAGGGTGTATTTTAATGTATTTTTTTAGGCATTTTGATGAACTCTCTTGATACTGGGTGAGCATCAGTGCCTAAGGTGTTCATCATAAAACACTCAACTAAATAAACAATACACAAGAGGAAAAACAAGTCTGCCCAGGGAAGGGAGAGGAAACCTCTGCCACTTCAAGGGCCCTTCACCCCATGCCTAGCTAGCCCCACCTTTGCCCTGCCCTGCCCTGCGGGGAGAGGGCAGGGGGCTGCCATCGCCAAGGAGAGCCTTTGGATGAAGCCGTTGTCATGGCAACTGCCTGCAAGATCCAGGAGGCCATCCCGCCGGCGGCGATTCTTTTGGGAACCCAGGGAGGCACCAGGGACCAGAATGCTCAGGACCGAGTGGGTGGTTTGAGGAGCGCCCCCCTCAGAGAACAGGCATTCCGGGTTTCCACACGGACACCACTTCCGTCCCCCAGGCGAACTGCATGTTCTGTTTACTGGCGCTGTAGAGTCAGGATGGGATGTACGACCATTTTGCCTGATCTACATCTGGCCTAGAAATTATACCCACCCCTTCCCAAAGTAACATGGAGATGCCCGCAAAGAGGCTGGGCAGCAGCCACTGGGCAGAAGCATTGGCCTGGCCTGGCACAACAGAAGCGGGTGAGGAAGAAACTCAAGAGCGCCCTGCCCAAGCCCGCCCGGGCTTTCACAGAGCCCAGGTCACCTCAAGTGGGGCGCTCTGTCTGGGGGGGTCTGTTTCCTGACCAGGTCTTCCTCGAAGGGGCGACAGGTGATGCATTGCTCCTTTTCCAGCAAGGCAAAATGGCTGCTCACCTCCGCCCCACCCCAAGGCTGCCCACCAGCAGCAACAAAGGTTTCCTCTGAGGCCACGAGAAGCAAAGCTCAGGGAAGCCCAGCCAAAGCTGTGGAGAGCAGCACAGGGGAGGGGGCGCTCGCTCGTCTAAGGTGCCACACCGGGAGAAGGCCCTCCCCTCCCTGGGAGATAAGCAGCAACAGCAGCAGCTCAGCCAAGCCCAGGCTCCCCCTAATGCAGGGGGGAGCCGTAGCCTCTCCTGGGGGGCGGGGAGCAAACGAAGGGCAAGAGCCAGCAGATGCCCTTCCCTGACCGGCCCTGCAAGATCCTTCCTCCATCACTGACCATCCGAGAGCAATGGGCGGGGGGGGGGGGGTCAGCTGCAATAAACCAGAAAGCCTGAGGGCTCCCCAATTCGGCCCCCTCCAAGAGACCCGTTGCAGCTCCCAAACCGGCCATTGGAAGAAATATGGTGGAGGAAACTCAGGCGACCCAGAGCCCCACCCGAGGCAGAGGGCCCAGGGGGGCTCCATGACAGAGCCAGCCAGAGGCTGCTGCTCTCAGCCCCTCCCAAGGGTTCCCAGGGGAGCCTCGTGGGCACAGCTGCTGCTGCCAGCTAAAGCCAGGCTCGGCCCAGGAGCTGGCGGAACGAGGCCCGTGGGTGAGCCGGGAAAGAACCCCACTTGCTCTCAGGGTGAAGGTGAGGGGTGGGCAGCAGCCTGAAAGACCCTGGCCAGGCAAAGTGCTCACCTGGGAAGCTCTCCAAACCCCACCCAGGTGCTGCCAAACAAAGCACCTTGGAAAGCCCAGCTGGGAAGCAGCTGCCATGTACTTGCAAGGCCGGTTCCTCCACTCTGACCTTCCCGCCCTGTTCTCCAGGAGGGCCCTTGGGGGACAAAAGGCCAGGGTGGCTGCTTGCTGGGGGGTGCTGGGGGAGAGGACCCCAGGTGGCCTCTGCCAGGGAGCAGGAGAGGAAGGACAAAGGGGGCAGCTCCAACGAGGGCCAGGAGCCGTATTGCCCGATCTGGGGTAGCTAACCAGGCAGCCACCTCCTGCCAGG